TGCGATGGGTTTTGAACGTTAAACCTATGTCCGTATTTGGTTTAATAATTTGCGGCTGTCAATCAACGTAACTTATTTTATTTGTCATTCAAGCATGTACAATAACTAATAAACGTGGAACAGAGAACAACAATTAAGCAATGTCAACAAAGGTCAAAGGTGAGAGTTCATATGTTGTAAGTTTTTTTTACCCAAATTTGCACATCTCAAATTACCTAATAATTAATGCCTAGCGTACGAGCCTCCCTTGACAAGGCTTTAAGTAAAAAATGTTCTTACGTGGCTGCCAAACAAGAAAATAATACGGGGATCACAATCTTTGTATTTTGAACAAAGCTCTGCATTTAAGAACATGTACCAATTGGAGTAGTTACAACCATACTGAGATTTGTATTGTGATCATCTTCCTCGCAAATGATTTTTAAAAAAAGGAAAGTTTGGTGTATTATGGTGTTACCTGTAGAAGGAAACTTTCATGTGTGAGTTTTTGATTTACAATAACGCAAAGTTGAACTTCATGTTAGTGCTAGAAATGTAGGAGAATGTTGGAAATGTCAAACACACAAGATCGTATAGACCCTCGCTTCTTGTTTTTGTTCTGAGTAAAGTTTTCATCTATGTTACTATCTATTCCATTGGTCTAGGGTTACTGGAACGCTTACATGATGGTGAATTTGTCATCTGTGCTGAAGGTTATGGTTTTTATTTTGAAAGAGAAGGATATCTTCAGTTAGGACCTGGTGTTCCAATGATTGTGAAAGAACATCCCGAACTGGTGAAGAACAGCTACAGAACTTTTGTTCGTGCCGGAAGTGACGTAGTATTGGCTCTTACGGTATGGTATTCGTCAGAATTTGTAAAATATATGCCTCTGAGAGAATAAATATCTGAGCGATTGTAAGCCCACGTAAAATATTCTGTATATTTACAAGTTACAAAATATAACAGCGTATCTTGATGGCGCTTTCTGCATCCGATATATCAAAACTGATAAATGGTCAGTGTACTTTTAACTAATCTGCCAGTCGTACGTGTCTCGCAAAAAATTGTGATTACACGTTTTGCGTATTTATATGAATTTATTAATAATTTTGAACCAGCCGTACACAGATACATATAAACTTAATGTTTTTGAATGCACCTATACGGGTTTGTTCCGTAAGTGTTTCTAAAATTATTAATATAGTGAAAGCTATGATATCATTTCAGTACTATGGACATCGTGCAAAACTAGCTGTTATTGGCAAGGAAGATCTGGTAGAAGAAATTAATAAATCAGCTCTACGCATGGCACGTGAAGTTGCCGACGAAACAGGAACCCTGATGGCGGGAAATCTCTGCAATACTAACATATATAATGCAGATGACGCTGAAAGGATTGAACAGATAAAGGAAATGTTCAAGGTAATGAGCTTGTATTCGACATGAAAACTTACACATATTATGTTTGTACACATTAATAAAACAATTATATTGATTAATTATGATATTATATCTATGTTTGTAATACGAGTGTAATATCATACATATTCTATAATTGTTTTGTTTATTTATTTATGTAAAGGAACAAGTGGAATGGGCTGTGGAAGCAGATGCTGATTTCATTTTGGCTGAAACATACACATACTATGGTGAAGCTTTATTGGCTTTAGAAACGATCAAACAATACGGAAAAGGTAATTCACATAAATGACGTTGTATGCATGCATGGGAATATGATGGTTTTGTATAAGGAATAGCATAGCAATGAAGATTAGTATAATTGTAAAACGTGAAATGCACGACAAAGCTGCACGCTAAACATGAGAATTAAGTCTAATCCTAAAAATGTGTTAACAATGCTGTGGCCTAGAAAAGTTGTGCTACTAATTTGCTTTACTTCAGATTTCTGATATATTTGTTGTGATGTTATTGATAATTGTTTTCCGCGTATTATGGTTTTGATTTATTCAAACTATTGTAGTTGTTCCCTGTGCATGCGGACATTCTCTAACTGGCTTCTCTGACAGGACTGCCTGCTGTACTAACTCTAGCACCGTTTGTGGTTCCCACAAGGAATGGACACGCGGTTACAGCTGATAAAGTGCTCTTGAGTGATGCATGTGCGAAGTTAAAAAGTGCTGGAGCTGCAGTGGTTGGTCTAAACTGTCGACGTGGACCTGACAGTATCATACCATTAATGAAAGAAATAAAAGATGCATGTTCT